GGAGTTCTTACAGATTAAGTTATATATTAAGTCGTTATATTTCACCCTGTCACTAGTGCTTAATTCTTACTAAGTTTGAAATGTTTCTTCCTGGTTAAATGAATGTTTACAACTCCGTAAGTATTTCAAATGTGGATGTCGTTTACCAGCAGCCAGAAAATCTGCTCGAGAAAGTGTCAGTGTCTGGTTGATGCTTTAAGTGCTGGTAACAGGCATGCAAGGTTGTGTGATGGAGTCTGTGTAGGGTAATGGGTATATGGTGGATATTGGTCTTGAGGCCTTTCTACTCTCTTCCCAGAGAGTGTTTTGCACAGGGTGGAATTATGACTTGATGGTTTTGACACAGTGTGTCTGTGTTTTTAATGGGTGCTCTGTGGCGTGGAGGTAAGGAAGATGGGTCACTGTCTGGCCTGGAAAGCAGTGCAGTTTGTGACAGCTCAGATTGGTGACGTCTCCTCTCCTTTGATGTCAGGAAATTTTTGGCAACCATCTCCTCCACTTAAAGGCTCATAGGGATCCGCTTGAGTGGGGTTTATCCCAGTGGGAACACGGCACTGCTGCAGCCTGGCAGATTGGAGGATCTTTCTCTCTTGCTAATGTGAACTTTAGTATTTCCCTGCAGTACAGGGAACCGAAAGAGGTTGAGGTGGAAGCTAGAAGCATCTCTGTTGTTTGTCCCCTGTAGTCACATGTTGGTGGTGCGGGAGAAGAGGAAGCCCATTGCACAGCAGCTGAAGCATTCTGCAGTCTTTAGTCAGCTGTGGGCAATATTTGGTTTAGCTGATGTTTGTTAAAAACTTTGAAAATTATGATTTTTTTTTTATGGGCATGCATCAGGTTGCATTGGCCTCGTACATTTAGCTGCTTTTTATTATTAGCTGTGTTTCTTTAAACTGTTTCATGTGTCACTATTCCTCAGTCTTTTCTGTATTTCAGTTGGGAGTAAAATAGGAAGGAGGGAAAGCAGAAATTTATAGTAATAGTAAAAGTTCAGGAAAAGCTACAGAAATAAAGATCTGACTTTTGATTGACATTATTTTATTGTTAACATAATTTAATGTACTCTATTCCCATTCCAGTCTTTTGCTGTTATGCTTCTGACACATAAGTTAGTGTTATTTTACTAAGCACAGAAAATTCTCACTCCATGGCATTAATGTCTTTCCTGCAATAGCAGATGAGGTGGAGACCAGTGCCCTGTGCAGTGTGTAGGCCACATGAAGGCTTTAGTTGAACAGAAAGATTCGCTGGATTGAATCATTGCCCAGTCCATTATGGTTTAACTACTCTTGACACTTGATTAAGTATGTGTAAAACACTTAGGAGTCTGCCCATGCATGCATTTCTCTGTAATCCTTAGTTCAAGCTTCATTTTTTTTTTTTTGGATACTGATTTTGCCGGAACTCTGCTACAGTTCATTGTAGGAGATTCCTTGTCCTATCTCTCTAAAACAGCTCCTTGCTCCTCGGTCTGAGCAGCTCCAAAGCAGCTACGCCCTCCTCCACATCTGTGCATCGAGGAACTGGGCCTTGGAGAGGTGTTACACAGCACAGCCCGTCTCTCATTAGTGTTAAGGGTTTGAAGCCTGTGTGTTTAGAAATTTTCTAAGTCTGAATTTCTAATTCATTGACTGAATTTCCACCATCCTTGATACTTCCTGCCAGTGTTGCGAATCCACGGGAGATCAGTCCAGATAAAAATGATGTTGCTGTTGAAACACAAACAACCCTCCTCCCTGCTCAAATGTAGCAACTCTCCCAGTTGACCCAACATCTAATTTCGTAGAGTTGTAGGAGCTCGTAGGTCGGAGGGACTTCTGGAGGCCACGTGGTCCCAAGCTGCTGCTCCAGGCAGGGCCTGTTGGACAAGGTCACTTGGAATCTTGTCCCGTTGAGCTGTGAGCCTCTCCACTGATGGGGATTTCACCACCTCTTTGAACAGCTTCCCCTATGCAGCCACCTTGAACTGAAAACATCTCGTCTTTAGATCTGATAGAGCTTCTTATGTTGGAACCTGTGTGTGATGTCTCTTGTTTCATCCCTGCACCTCTGGGAAGAGTCTGGCTCCTTTTTCTGTATATCTCCTTCCTAGGTAGCTGTAGAATTTGGGTGGACAGAAAGATGTTGAGAAACTGGAGGATTTGAGTCCTGGTTAAATTTTCGTTATGAAACACAGAGTGGACATTAATGTGACCAAAAACGACACTCGTATTTTAGGTCTTGCTTGTTTCCTATTATAGGATTTTTGTAGGAGACAACATGTCCTTCTCTAAAATGTGTCAGGAAGATGTTGTTCTTCCTGTGGGTGGTGGAAGCTTTTGTAGGATTGCAGACCATTAATTGGAGTAGAAATTTTGTAGAAATCCTTTATTTTGTAGGCACTGTGTAAGGCCAGTAGTTGGATTACTTAGTGTATTCTAACCTGGAAAACAAAATGCCGTGTAAAGTTATCATATGTTAATATGTTAATAAACTTATATCTAACCTAACAATTTGGGCGGATGTGGCCGATGGTAACAAGGTAATAAAACTCCTCCTATACTTTTAATTTAGGATTCCCTGTTCTATTTCCTGGTATAAATATTGCAACAGCTGGAACAAGTTCAAAGGAAACCTTTGTAATATAGTTCATAAACCCAACATATTTAAGAGGCTTTGATTTACTACTTAAATGGGCAGGTCTCCTTTTCCTTTTTATTTATTTTTTTTCTTTACAATGTGCTCAAAAAAACCACTGATGGAATTAAAATTTGTCCCTCCTTTTTTCTTCCCTCCTCCTCAGATTGCAGCTATTCTCAGGAAACGAAAACTTGACTATTATTTGCACAAACTGCTACCTGAGATCTTGCAATCAACTTCCTTTCTGACAGCAAATGGGGCCTTGTATATTGCTTGCTTTTGCATTCTAAGGTTGGTATACTATCATAAAAATTGAATGTTTTTTAGTGGAAAGCTGTTTTTTAATGTAGCTTCTTAATTTATACAGTTTCTTTTTGAAAATAGGCAAGTTTGTAATGAATAGGAGTAAGATAAGCAACAATTGTGCCATCGTCTTTCTCTCTGGGCTTGCCAATTCAATATGCACATTTTTATTTTGCAAAATATTCTTTTGTAGAATCTTTTGAGTTGATAAACAAGTCAGTGCATTTGTTTTGTTTCCCTTTCTCCTTTTTCCTGATTCAAAAAATACATTTGCAGGAAGTGCAAATATATGCTGGTGGGTACCCAAGGAAACTTGATCTTTCTATTCTGCAGAGAATTGTTTTAAACTGATTTTATTTGCTTTTTTTTTTCCTGGTTTCCAGATGCAGGGGCAGTGATGAGTTTTAATTATCCTATACTCAATGTAGCCTTCCGAGTTTATATTTTTCTTAATTATGGTCATAAATGAAGGAAATCCCATTATAGCTCCTGGGGTTTCCTTGGGGGCTAGTAGAAAATAATTGTTTTAATTTGAACCTGTATAATGGCACATGTCTGCTGTTGTTAGGGTGAGAGTAGCAACCAGCTCCCTTCCTGAGAGGTGACTTTATCTTGAAATAACACACTTTGCCCACAAAGTCAATGGCTTAAATGCAGTTTGTTGTCCTCTGGAGTAGTTTGTTCAGATAGAATTGTATGTGTGGTTCTCCTTCCCCAACCTAAAATATCTCTGCTTATTAGAGTCATTATTTTGGAAGTTGTCAATGGTCAGTCCTTTTATTCTAACTTGCATGTTTCTAGTTTAAGCTGCCTTTTTTTGAATACAGTCTTGCTCTGAAAAATGATTGCAAATGGCACATCTGAATTTATAGCTTCTTCCAGTTAATTTTGCCAGTAATTATCAGAATAGTTAAAAATGGTCCTTCTTTCCTGTTTATGAACATTATGTCCTAGTTCTGAATTATACAACATTTTAAGAGTGAGGTAAGTTATACTTATTGTAAGGGCTATTATGCATGGACATGTCCAGCCTACAGACGCTGTGGATTTTTGGGAGTTATCTGATGCAAACGCAGCAGCCTCTTTCAACAGTTGATCAAACTCTGCGTCTGCAGCGAGGCCTCCCAGCCACCTCGAGCGCCCCGAAAGATGGGAGAGGAGCTAGCCCAGGAGACACGAGCAGCTCCTTAAAATCAGTTATTTGGGAAGTTCAAAGTGAGTTTTAAATTTAAGTAAAAAAAAACTCTAAGGAATTAGAATTTTTTCCAAGTAATCTAACTTTTATTTGTGCTGTTTTATTTTTGCTCTTCTGAGCGTGGTCTTCCTTGCTGTGCCGTGCAGCCGCCTCACTGCAATGCCAAGGATGTTGCCCTCTAAATTTAGCTGGGGTGATTCTAGGTTTTATTGTTTTCAGCTCTTCCTCTAATGGAGATTTCACAGAATCCCAGAATGGTTGAGGTTGGAAGGGACCTCCAGAGATCATCTAGTCCAACCTCCCTGCTCCAGCAGGGACACCCAGAGCACGGGGCACAGGGTGGCATCCAGGCGGGTTTGGAAGATCTTCAGAGAAGGAGACTCCACAACCTCTCTGGGCAGCCTGTGCCAGGGCTCTGTTACCCTCACAGTAATGAAATGAAGTTCTTCCTCACATGGAGGTCCAGTTACACTGCAGATCTCTGGGCGGCATGTTGGACACTATGGGACACTTCTTAAGTCCCCTAATTATGGGAAGCAAAAGAGGGAAATAGTGGATAGATTCAGGTGCTTGAACTGCTGTTCTTACAACTGTGCAGGCATGTAGCAAACCTATCTCCTGAGAGCTGTGTGATTCTTCTGGTGCAAAGTGACTTCTGTGATGAGTTCTCATCTGCAGCACAGTCTCTGCTGTAGGGTCCCTGCAGACTCCCTGTCCCAAGGGACTTGGAAATCAAAGATGGGGAAATAAATGACTCTGTTCAGCTGAAGTCACTAACAAGACAAAATAATAATAAGGAAGTATGTAGGAAGGCTTATACTTAGAGTTGAAGTGTATGAAAACCCAATTATAAGAAAGAACCATTTGGAGACTTTATGATGAGAATAAAATTCTGGACCTTGGTGATTGAATGTGATATTTAAGAGCCAATAAATGGCACTTTAAACAAAAAAACAGTGGATAACATGGTTATTAAAAAATCTGCACTTTCCAAATTGTTAGTGCTGCCTGAAGGAGCAGTACAGAACTGCCTGACCTGATTGTTGTACAGGTTCCCACATGGCTTTTGTCGAGACTTTTGGGAATCAGTAAATCATTAATTAGTGGATAAAATATGTAAAACAGAAAGAGGGAGAAATAATCAGTTTTCATGATAGAAAGAGGTTGGAATAGTGTTCCTGCTCTGTTCTTTGTTCTTCAGAGACGTTAAAAAAATCTGGAAAAACGAATGAAGAATAGTGTGAGTATTTGCTTGTATGAGACTATTTAGGATGTTAAAAAAAAAAAAAACAGTTTTGGAAAGATCTGGCAATTAAAATGATATGCTGAATTTGATGTTGACAAGTGCAAAGAAATACATACCAAAGGGCAAAAAAAGAACAATTCTACCCATACACAATGATGGGCTGTAAATTAGCTACTTAATCAGGAGGATGTTGAGAGCCATCATGGATAAAGGCTTTGAAAAGGTCAGTTACTACTTGGATATGGTCAGAGTGTTACTTGAACAGAAGCTGAGAACAAGCCATAAAAGGTTTAATAGTCTGTAAAAACGCATGCTCTATTTGCGTGTTGCCGCTGGATGCTTGTATGTACCCTGCGAGAGCTGCTCCTGAGCTCGTGGCACGGAGAAGTCCTTCCCTCGGAATGTGCTCCGTGTCTCCGGCGCGGGAGCCGCGGGAGCTGCCTTCCCTCATCCCCTGTGAGGTGGGAGGCAGAGGATGGGATTGACTCACTGCACGGAGACTTCCCTGCTTTCCTTTCTTCTCCTGGTTGGTTGAGGGAGGGAGTCGTGTGATCCCTTGAATCCGTTGCTATGTGTTGCAGTCTAGGGATGTTTGACTTTTCAGCAGCACTTGAGAGCAGAGTAACTGTCTCCAGGCCGGATTGCTCTTTGCTGTCACGCGTTTCAATGCACGGAAGAAGTAGCACTAAAGCTCTGGTGTTTCACACAGCCGTGGCCTGCTTGCCACGGCGCAGAGGTGCTGTGAGAGCGTGGGCACAAGGGTTGGATAGAACAGATGTGTGCGATGTGATCGTGCGCGCTGCGCTCTGGGCGTCTTCTCTAACTGTAGAGCGTGGTCTGGCCTTGTGGGATAAGACCACCTCAGTCCAAACCCTTGTACGGGGATGTGTGTGTGTTCTGTGGAGCTCTAGCCAGCTCGGGCCTTTGGGCTGGTGGAGAGTTTCCTACCAGCTTTGTTCTGGGCAGGAGAGTTTGCAGAGAGCAGGAGCAGCAGCTCGGGAGCAGCGTTGTGTGACAAGCTGCACGCGCTTCCCTCCTCTTCCTCACCTGGGATGCTGGGCCAAAGTGGCAGTTGCTGCTTTGGAAGCAGTTGCCTTTTTGCTGCTTCTGCACTGCCAAGGAGATTTATTGACAGGTCTCCTAGGGAAAGCAACCCCTTCATCTGTTTGCACCTTTTTCAAGTCCGAGTAAATCACTAGTCACTGTCTAATGACATAGAAAACACTCCATAGAAAATATTTTTTGGCCTTCTAAGAATTAATAAAAGAGGTTTTCTGGTTGCCTTTGTACATGAATGTCTAAAGTCTGAATAAAGACCTAAGTATGAAATTTAATTGTCAGTGAGAAGCCTGGCTTGTGCTTGTCTCTTTGATGCTTTTCCACTAGGAAAGCCCACCAAAATTGAAACAGCTGCAAATATTTTCAAGGATGTAATATTTTAGGCAAGAACTTGCCATTTAAGTAATTTCAAGAATTGTGTAATGTATGCCCTCTCCATTTCATAGGTGGGTAAAATTTCAAAAGAATCTAAATCCAACTGCAGTAATGACTTGGGCTGTGGATAGATGGTCTCGTTCTGGAAGGGGTTACTGTTACAGTCGCCTGTTGCTGCGCTCCTGCAAGGGGCCGTATCAGCTTCTCCTGATTTCCTGTAGGCAAAAATAGTCCTGCTAACCAGGACCAGCGATTTAAACTGCTTGAGCTGACTTGGCTGATTCTTATTCTTGCTTCAAGTGAATTAGGGATGTGCACAGAGTGCTCTGCTGGCAGATGAGTGGGGGTGATGATCTCTGCCTGTGTGACAGGCTGACTGAAATAATAAAAAGTTTTTTTTTTTTTTAAAAAAAAAAAAAGTTTTCAGTTTTATTAAACAAATGGAAACCCCATGAAGACACTGTTAGTCTAGCGACTAAATTAATTCAGTTTGTCCATGAACGGGTTCACTCTAAACTCAGCCTTACTTATCAACCACTACTGTTCAATGAAGAGCTTGCTGCATCACCCAAAAAAGAAGCATTACTCCTCATTCCCACTTCTAACTATAGAGCATGTAATAATGGCCATAGAAATAACACCACCACCGCTTATTCCAAAAATTTAAATGACTTTAAATGACAGTGGGCATGTTATATTTTCACATAGTGTAAAGTATTGTTTGCTTTTTTTTCTGAAATCTTATCACATTAAACACATAAGCATTAGTAGAGACCCTCAAAACCATGCAGAAAGAGATCAAATTCCTGCTTCTTTCCCACAGAGGAGACGTTTATGTTATTTGACAGGTGTGCCTAGTGAGATGTGGTCATACTTACTACGCAGTTTAAAAGGACTTCTCGGAAACCTCATCCAGCCCTTGCTTTCCAAGAGGGTCCTAGTAATGACCCTCAGCTCCTGCAGCGTTTGGCAGTGCCATCCCGAGGAGTCACCCACGCGCAGCGTGTGGTCGTGGCCGCGTCCTGGCTGCCGAGGCACCCGCGCTGGCTTCCTCGTGAGCTGGGGCTGCCAGGGCTGTTCGTGCAGGAGCAGCGTGGAACGGAGGAGTGAGTTAACCCAGACAGTGTGGAGGAGTTGTCTTAGTTCCTTCTTTCATGCTCTCAGTGAGAATTTCCACTTAAAAAGCCTTCCTTTTCCTACCCTTTGTGTTTGGCATTTGGTTTGTTGTATTTTCCTCCTTTTTAAAGGAGGCTACACTACCCTGTGGCCCTGTGTGCTGCTTGGCTGATAGTGCTACTTGCTTGAGCAGCATCCCTGTACCTGATGTCCTGATTGGAGTCAGTCTGGAGATGGAGGTTTTTCCTGCTTTAAGTGGCCAACTTATACAAATATTTTTGTACATATAATCATTTAGTTATTTGTTTTTTTTTTTCCCAGTATTTTTAAAAGGAAGAATTTTGATCCTTGAATTGTATGGGCTTTTAAGAGAATCTCTGATCTTGCTGCAAAAATTGAGACTTTCAGTTGACTCTCCCAGGACTGGGGTTTTGCTGTTGGATCAAGAGCCGAGTGAAGGTTGATTCCTTCCCTTAGAGTAAATGAGTGACTTCGTGTTTTTAATATTAGTTCCTCTGTCTAATAATGTATATTGCAATAATTTGATTTGATTTTCTGGCTCCGCTCATTTTATTATATTCCCCAAAATTCACGTCTTCCTGCACATGTATTTGGAAGTCTCTTGGAGAACTGCTTTCTTTAAGAAAGAAATCCCTTAAATGAAAGGGATATGTTAGTGTTCAGGAGTGTAATGTTATGAAGCACCTAGGAAGCCCCTTTGAGAACTACTAAACTGTAAAAAAATATACCAGGATTAGCACTTATTTAGAAATAAAGATGAATATAAAGGGGGTATAATTAATGTTAATGGTAAATAGCCCTAATTTTATGGTAAATTGCACTATGTTGCATGTCAGTTGCTCTGTGTCTTTGCATGTAATTTGCATGTAACTTGTCTTTTCAGGAAGCTGCTTGGAAAATTCTACTTTTGGTCTCCTGGCTTTGGTGCTGCTCTACCAGCTTCATATATGGCTATTCTCATCGAAAGAAAAAGCAGGTACAACCTGTGTTTATTTGTTTTCAGTTTTATATAGTGTATTCCTCCTTTCTGTCATTTGGTAATTCAGTCATTTTTGTTTCAGAATGCTGGAAAACGAATTCGTTTGAAATAGTATATTTGGTAGCCTAAATTGAAGTCTAAGAAAACACAGTAGAGAAATAATTTATAAACGAACAGCTTCTTTAGCTGTGAGTTTTATTTGTCCTTGTTTAATGTCTAGACTGGTTGTCATTGCCCAAATAGGCTCTGTGTGTGCGTGATTTCTTTCAATAGTCTTTGTAGTTGGTCACAGGGAAGGCGTTTGCTAGTGAAAGTTACTGATGACCCGAGTTGACAATATGATTTTAGGTAATAGGGAGGAATAAGAGGATTTTCTGTGTTTGAGGGAAAATGAGTTAGAAGAAGGTGAAATGTTGTTACAAAAAGCAAAACTTTTCACTTAAGGAAAAATGCCAGACCTCTGCTATCAACAGGAAGGTCATTAATTAAAAAGATTGTAGTGGAGGGAAGAAAAGCCCGGAGTGATCCAGGGCTAATTGAATGCTGCATTTTGTGACGTGGCAGTGGAAAAGTGGCAGATGAAATCTTGGGTTATAGAATGCATGCATTTTGAAATACAGGTCGAATTGGAAGCTTGTAGCAACAGTGCAAAATATAATGCTCAATTACATGAAAATGATGCTTTAATCATCCAGTAAGAACACTTTAATCACGGTAGAGAGAATGACAGAAGGGTAGGGTGAGGAATTACTCTTCATCTTGAAATAAAATGGGAATTTTAGGGCTAGCAGTGATGTGAATATGCTTTTAAGCACTGTGGGTATCTGAAACATCCTTATACGGTCACTTTGGCATGGCTGCAGATGCACACACACCGTGTTGCCATCTGCCTGCCTGCCCCCCGTATGGCTGATGAAAAAAGTATAGTGAAAAATCAGAGAGGTGGGGGAGAAGTCCTGGTTTTAGTTCATAAAGATACCAGAGTCCTTTAAATTGCAAGTAGCAGCTGGCAGCAACCTCAAATTTTCTCTTACTCTCTTCCCTAATGGATACCTTGTTTTAAGTCCTTCACAGGCATTTGCTTGCCCAGCATCCTTGTCAGTCCTAGACTTTGGAACAAGAAGCTTGTAAATCAGGTGTCCTCTGAGTGTTGCAGCTTGTGTGTTGGAATTCTACCTTAGAAATGCTAAGAAGGGTTAAATCTCAGCCAATTTTGGCTGCTGGTTGTATCATAAGATAGTGTTCCTTATGCAGGTATTTTTCTCAGCATCTTGTTTCTTTTCTCTGTATTTATTTATTTATAAAACTCCAATTTGGGTTATATGCTAAAAACAAACAAAACAACCACCAGTACCTGTTACTGTTACTGAACTTCTTACATGGCAAGAAAATGTTCTTGTAAAGGACGAAGTACTGCTGTTTCCTGGAGAAATGGATGCAGTTCATTTGAATATGCTTTTTTTCTAACTCTTTTTGATGTTGGCAGTAGCATCAACATTTTAATTACTCTTAATGTATATTAAGTTTAGAAGTGTAAAATGGCTGTTATATTCATTCCACTAAGCTGCCTTAGTAAATGGTTGCATTAATTTTGTTAAAGTTTGTATGGGATCATTTTACCACTGTTCTCCTTTACTCCTACAGATGTTGTGTCAAGCTGTCTAAGGAGCAATTGTACTATTTAAAATTTTGCAAAAATGAAAAAATGACTATTTTCTGTCTATCTTTTGACGGCTTTTTGAAACTCAAAGTTCTTTTTTATTTTAACATCTATTAAGTGGCGTAAACAGGAATGGAGGCTGTTGAGAAGGAAAGCTGTGGCTCAGAATGAAAGACAGTTTTGCTTTGTTGTACAAGCACTGAGACTGTTAGAAGGCAAAGAAATAACTGAATATATTTGCTAAAATCATTTTGGAATGAGTTGAAATGTTCTTTGAGGCTTTGAAGCCAGTGTGTTATTCTACCTTACTACATCGGTTGTATCTGATTTCTGAGACCAAGTCTGGTAGTTCAGTTAGGAGCCAGCATTTGAGGTGTCTGAGATGAATCTCGAAGCTCAAAAGATGGAGCTCTCTGTGTTCTGCATCCCTGCTAACGCTCAGAAACATTGAAGTTGCTTTTAGCTAATAACTAATCAGCAGGCTTCACTTTGTTGGCTTCTTGTCTAAAATATAATGCGCTGATGAATTTCAAAAGCTATAAATAAACCACAGTTGGGTTTGTAATGAAATTAATTGCCTTGCTGCCTGCCTAACCATTTTACCATTCGCGCCCTATGTAAGTAATTAAGCCAGAGAAGTCTTAACTGCAACTACTGAGAAGTGCTGAAAATCCCTGTGGGATTTCCCGCTCGCCGCGGGGCTGCAGCAGTGTCACAGACTGCCTGTTAACGTTACAGCGGCGCCTGGCTCGCCGCACGCACAGAGTTGGGTCGCTGATGGATTTATAAAACCCAACGTTTAGGGCTCTTATAATTTGGTCGTAAAATCAGGCTCTGGGCTACTACTGGCAATGTGTTTTTAGCTGAAAAGTTTGGGTGCTTTTCATTCCCCCCAAAAAAGCTTAGTATACTGGAATTTTAGAAAAATATTTACAGAGTCTGCATGCATTTTAAAAGTGATACAATGCATGTTAATAGAGGACATCTCTGTGTATGTTTAGTGTTGCTGGAAACAGAAATGTATGACCATATATTGCTTACATAAATGCTTTGCTTAGTTTTCTAAGAGCAGTGTGGAGTTTTTTGCATTTTTGCAAATGTTTGCATATTTGTTCTTCTTGTAGCACATCCGTTGCTGTTTAGGTTTCCTTGCTTGCCAAAAATGCCCAGGTCTCCCATGGGAATAAAGGCAGAGCGTGGCAGCGTGGCAGTGGCAGTAGGTGTTGTTATGCTGTAAACAAACGCAACCTTCTTGTGATTTCTGTGGCTCTGTGCGTTTAAATACAAATTTGTTTTTTTTTTCTTTTTAATGGTGGTGTGGTGTATGTAGACTCGAGATGGCAATTCCCCTTTCTCCGAGGGTTTTACAGCTATTCAGATTGACCTTGAATTGTAAGGAAGCCCCTGAATCACTGCGGGGAGGAAGGGAAAAGGGGCAAAGAAAATCAGGACGCAGCAGCTGCTTTTGCCAACCCGAGTCTCGTGTCCCGCAGGTGAGAGACGAGCGAGGGGGCTGCGCCGTGGGAAGGCTTCCCCCTTGGACTGTGGAGGTGGAGGAGCCTGGCCCGCTCACACAAGCACCTTGTGTTGGGATCTGGCACACAGAGCCAGCAGGGAGAACAAATTACTTTGGTGTTTGCTCCCCTAGAGTGTTTATGACTCGGAAACGCGGAGCTAAGCTGTAGCAGGGACAAGCGGCTCGTTTTGTTTCCAAACCAAAGCGTGTTCAAATGGGTGCTTCATGGCCTGCTTTGGGTGAGGGATGGCGGCCCCGAGGTCGGCCTTTGTTGTGCGTTCGGAAACGTTTGGCGGCGTGTTTGGGGAGCTGCTATGGCCTTAATCTTCAGTGCCATCCAAAAACCCACCTCGGTCGATGCCTGCCCCGAGGCTCCTGGAGGGAGGGAAGCCTTGGGGTTTCCAGCTGCCCGGGGCGCGGGGGCAGATCTGTGACGTGTGTGGGGCTGCGGGAGGTCGTGCCAGCAGGTAGGGCTGCCAGGGCTCTCCTGTTACAGCGTTGCGTGTCAATTCTCGAAGAAAACCCTGAATTTCACAGAATTACAGAATGGTTGAGATTGGAAGGGGCCTCTGGAGATGATCTAGAGCAACCCGCCTGCCCAAGCAGGGTCAGTGTACAACCAGTTTGGTGAATTGTGTGGAGTTAAATCAATGCAGTGAGCAGACCCCAAGCTGTGAACGTGGGATGCTGTTAGGTATTACATGGAGGGGAGATCCCAGAATGGTTGAGGTTGGAAGGGGCTTCAAGAGATCATCTAGTCCAACCCCCCCCGCTCAAACAGGGACACCTGGACACGGGGCACAGGGTGGCAGCCAGGAGAGGGTTGGATCCTTCACTGCACTGCAGCTAGACTGAATTTCACTCTTACCTGCTCAGAAACCTCCCTTGTGTATGGTTTAGAAGTGAGCGAGAAACCAGTGACTACTGTAGTCTAATCTTATGGAGGGGAAGCATTTAAACTTTGTACAAATTAGGTTGTAATGAAATAATAGTAACTTTCATTGCTAATCTTTGGTCTGAGTATTCTGGCGTTTTTAATCTGCCCCATAGCATTACACTTAATCCCTCTCCTGAGCTGTTCATTTTTGCAACTTCTTGGCTAATTGTTATGAAATTTACTTCTCTTCTGGGACATCACACAGATGAAACTTTTTTTGGTTAAACTTTATCGTCTCATTTTTCAACTTCTTAAAAGCAAAAGTAATTATCATCTGCATTCATTTAAGTAAGAAAAAAATGACCATGGGGCCGGGTTTCCTGGAAGCGTGGGGCAGGCTGCAGGATTCATATGTACCTGCGATTGTCAGTGTCCACAACTGGCATGAAGAAATGAGAAGATAAGGGCCAGTGTAAATCCCATACGCGAACTGCGGAAGGGTGAATGTGGCAGAGGAGCTGGACAAACCTCCACGGCAGACGGTGCAGGTAACGCAGCTGCGCGGTGCTGGCTGTAGCACTTACTGTGCTGCCTGTTCCTGCTATCCGCGGTGCCCTGTGGACTGCGGCCGGGTTGCATCCTCCTCCTTGGATGTTCAGGTTGGTCGCGCAGAGACACCGGCCCTTGCCACGTGTCGCCTATGTCCTCCATTTGTAAAAGCAGCTGCCCAATTGAAACTGCCTCATTTAATGAACTCTGGAAACCATTTTGTCCTTTTTGCGCTTTGAGTACGTGACTCTACGTGCCTCTTGCCACTTAGGCAGTTTACACATCTCAAACTTCTATGTGACTGGAACTGGCAGGTCGTGGCAGCGGGCTCTGCGCTCTGCCTTCGCTCTGCCTTCGCTCTGCCTTCTCAGCATATGACAGCAACTGCTGTTGCA